TGTGTGTGGCAAGTGATGAAGAAACCAGTTGTCTCAGATTTCAAAATAGTATATGGAAAAACAAAGAAAACTTTGACTTTCCCCTTTCTGTGCAACTAGCTTGGGACCCATTGTCACCTGCTTGAAGACAAAACAAACCAATGGGGGAAAAAAAATCTGCCTGTAAATGAAGCTGCAATTAAAAAAAAAAAAAAAAAAAAAAAAAGCTCCCCTTGAAGAAGAGCTCACTTTTCTTCACTGGAACTGTGAAAATGCAGGAACTGAAAACCAGAACAAATTTTGGTTCCTTTGGTTCCTTTACCGTGGATGACAGGCCCGGTGGTTTGGGACAAATGCTATCAGCAGTGCTCAACCGAACATGGAACCAGCTCAGCTTCCAGATTCGATGGTTTGTCCTCTTCCTCCACCATGGCCACATCTCCCTCAGTTTTCTTCCCGCCAGCCTCCATGTGTTCCTCCCATCCAACCAGCATAAGATAATATTTGTGACTCAGATAATCCAGCAACTGAAATGCAAAAGCAGCACCCAGGCGCCAGTCAGAGCAATCCTAGTTATTATTCACAAACCCATGGATATAAGGGTGTTCCAGACAGGCTGGATGTTCTCAAGCTCTGTGCTATTGATCGGTCACCCTGCAGTAGACCCACTCACAAGGGGAAACTTATTTGGGACCCAGTGTCTATCACACACACTATCACACACACTGAAGCCAAAATTTGCATTCCAAGAAGATGATTCCTTTGAGAAAGAAGATAGATTTGGAGGAGTCGTCTCCATTTTCTAGTCCACAAACTTCAAGGTTTGGACAGAACACTTCACAGTCAGAAGGGCAGTAGAGGATACACGCAAATGCTGGTGACCAAGGTATCAGCACCAACACTGTGTCCACACTTAGAAGGAAAGACTGTGGAAATATGCCAGCTTGTCTTTCACCACATTTCAAAAGACCGTGTGCTAAAGGAGGTTAAGTGAAGTCTGAACGCTGGGATAGCACATTGCTGAGGTCTGAAGTCTTGACTTCTAATACTTGTCTCCTGTTGTGGAAGACCCAGCAGTGATGAGTTAGGTGTATGGATTTTTCCTACATGTATGTAATAATGCTGAAAGCTGAATACATAATTTGCATAATTTTCATAATCCTGCTGAAAGCTAAATACATACTTCTAATAATTTTCATAAGCAATTATGAATTGCTAATGTTAAGAGCTTTTGGCTTTTTTTAAAATTGGTAGTGATCCAGTTTGCTTGCCCTCTGGCAACTTGGAGATTTTCAAACAATGTGAAATTATAATTCTTTCATTAAGATAGCCCTAGTTTCAGTCATATAGGTGAAGCTTTCTAAAATTTTTCCACAGATGATAAAGAAGTTATTCTTGGAAACAGATTTTGAGGACTGGTATTTGTGGCATAGCAGATAAAGCTGCCATCTGTGACACTGGCACCCTATTTGGACACCAGTTTGTGTCTGGCTGCTCCACTTCCAATCCAGTTCCCTGATAGTGGCCTTGGAAAGCAGCCGAAGATGGCCCAAGTGTTTGGGCCCCTGCCACCCACATGGGAGACCATAGGAAGCTCCAGGCTCCTGGCTTTGCCTGGCCCAGCACTGGCTGTTGTGGCCATTTGGGGAATGAACCAGTGCATGGAAGATCTTACTGTCTCTCCCTCCCTCTCTGTAACTCTGACTTTCAAATAAATAAATCTTCTTTTAAAAAAAAAAAAAAGGATTTTGACTGTTAAATACTGAAAGTAAAAGTTTTTCAATAATTTATTTAAAGAATCTTTGCCTCTACTGGTTGTATAAAAATGTGTGCTTGTCATTTTTTTTCCTTCCTTCCTTAGTACATTTATATTCTGTTCCTTTGTCAATAGAGTGTAAAATAAATGTGCTTTTTAAATAAATAAATAAGTAACCTGAGCCTACTCAGATAATCCAGAGTGACCTCTCCATCTCAAAGTCTGCCTTCATCACCTTCATCACATCTGCAATGTTCCTTTGCCATTGAAACTACCATATTCACAGGTTCTGGTGATTAGGATATGGGCAGGTTGTTGTCTATTATTCTGTCTACCACTAATTCTTTTTTTATGTTTTATTTATTTATTGTGATTTTTTTCTTTTCTCTTTCTTGGCCAGGCAGGCAGAGTAGACAGTGAGAGAGAGAGACAGTGAGAAAGGTCTTCCTTTTGCCATTGGTTCACCCTCCAATGGCCGCCGCAGCCGGCCGGCGCACCACTCCAATCCGAAGGCAGGAGCGAGGTGCTTCCTCCTGGTCTCCCATTGGATGCAGGGCCCAAGCACTTGGGCCATCCTCCTCTGCTCTCCCTGGCCACAGCAGAGAGCTGGCCTGGAAGAGGGGCAACCGGGACAGAATCTGGCGCCCCGACTGGGACTAGAACCTGGTGTGCCAGTGCCACAAGGCGGAGGATTAGCCTATTGAGCCGCGGCACCGGCTTGTGATTTTATTTCAAAGGTCAGTGGTGTGGGGTGGAGAGAGAGAGAGATCTTCCACCTTGCTATTTACTGCCCAAAGCCCATTTGAGGTTAGGCCAAGCCAAAGACAGGAATCTCAGATCTACTCTGGATCCCATGCAGGTGGCACTGACCCATGTACTTGAGCCATTACCTGCTGCCTTCCAGGGTATACATTAGCAGGAATGCTGGATGAGAAGCTGTGGAGCTAAGACTCAAGCCAGGTACTTCACTATGGGATATGGGCATTCCAGTCAGTGTCATAAGCACTGTACCAAACACCCACTCCTACCATACATTTTTTTTTTAAGATTCATTTCTTTATTTGAAATGCAGGGCTACAAACAGAGAGAGAGAGAGATTGTCCATCTGCTGATTTGCTCCCCAGATGGCCACAACAGCAGGGCTGGGTCAGACCGAAGCCAGGAGCCAGGAGCTTCATCAGGGTCTCCAGTGTTAGTGGCAGGGGCCCAGGGACTTGAGACATCTTCCACCGCTTTTCCAGGGACATGTTACCAGGGAGCTGGATCAGAAGTGGAGCAGCCAGGACTCCAACCAGTACCCATATGGCTGGTCATGGCTCAACCCACTGTGCCAGAGCACCAGCCCCAATTCTTAACAATTTATGTTCTTACATAAGGTGGTGCATTTTATGAAATGTTACAGTAGAATTAGAAGTAGATGTGGCTCTTCAAGATTTCTGAGAACCCTGTGGGTATTGTGACTACACGATCAACTGCACATGCACTTTTTTCTCATGTTCTTCCACAAAATGGCCAGAACACTGTCTATAACAACTACCAGTTCTCATGTTGTTGAACTTTGTGGTATTATGGCATAAATCCTCGTGCAGTGAGTTTAATTTTATTGAAAACATCTTTTCGTGGCAATTTTAGACCTACGAATGAGAAGATTGATGTAGCTATTTTATCAAGTTTCTTAATGACATATACAGAATAATGGCTTGAAGAGGTTTTAAGGCCTGAAGACACTTTAGCAATTCCCCATATCCAACGTTCCATGTGGCTGTCCAGTTATTCCGGCACTATCTGTGGCTCTGGTTGCCCCCAGCAACCATCCTCTGATTTTTTTCAAGCCTGAATGATGTCGTTTCTATAAGAATTTTGGCTGCCTTCAGGTTAAAAGACATCTAAGCAAACAAAAACACCCTGCCCTATACCCTGACCAGAGTGTGTCTACTGTATTCATTCTGAAACTTATAGTAATTATCTCAGATATCTTGTCCTGGAGTCTGAGCTGTTATCTGCAGGAGGACTATTCTAAGATTATTCTGTTAGGAACTTTGGAACAGTGGTACAAGGGAAGTCTCATTCATACCCAATTTTGTGTTTTTTTTTTTTTTATTTTATTTTGGAGTGAGAAAGAAAAAGAATACACTCCCCAAATGCCCACAATAGCCTGGACTGAGCCAAAGTCAAGAGCCAGAAATTCAATCTCTCGTCTCCCATGTGGGTGGCAAGGACTCAGGTACTTGAGCCATCACCTGCTGCCCCTCAGGGTATGCATCTGCAGGCCCCAGAATTGGGTATGGAGCCCAGACTTCAATGCCTACCATCCAGTGTGGGCTTGCAGGTGTCACAAGCAATGTCTTTTTTTTTTGTAAGATTTATTTATTTATTTATTTATTTATTTGAAAGGCAGAGTTACAAAGAGAGAGGGAGAGACACAGAGAGATCTTCTATCCACTGGTTCACTCCCCAAATGGCTGCAACAGCCAGGTCTGGATCAGGCTAAAGCCAGGAGCCAGGAATTTCATCCAGGTCTCCCTCGTAGAGGGCAGGGGCCCAAGCACTTCGGTCATCCTCTGCTGTTTTCCCAGGCACATTAGCAGGGAGCTGGATCAGAAGTGGAGCAGCCAGGGCTCGAACCGGCGCCCATAGAGGCTGCCAGCCACAGGCAGCCTTGCAGGCCACAGCTTAATCTGCTACACCAAAATGCCAGCCCACAAGCAGTATCTTAACGGCCGGACCGAATGTTTGCTCCATTCCCAGAAGATAGCCATCAGTTTCCTCTCCATGACCCACAGCGTCTCACACACACACACACACACATTTAGGTTTCTCAGAACAGACAGATATGTTACAGCACAGCTCTTCCCGTCTTAGTGTGGATATCTCTGCTCAGCAAGTGAAATGGGTGACGACAAACCCGATGCAGTATCGCCTTACAAGATGAGCCCGCCTCGGCCGGGTGTAAGGAAGACAACTTGGTTCTGATTTGAAGCCTTCAGGGCAGCCTCTGACGGATGCTGGGAATCCTCTCATGGAAGCAGCGTTCCTGCCCGGCCTGCCCGCACCGCTTCTCTGCACCGCCGCAGGAACAGTGCTGAGAGCCATTCCAGGGCTGTAACATTCGGGTTCCTAAGGCAGAACATTTGACTTCTCGCGGAGAAACGGATGGCCTCTCTGTCCTTACCCAGGTCAGTGGGTGTGTCTGGTGGCAGCTGAGTGTCTGTGCAGAAGCTCCCAGCCTTGAAAAGAACACCCTGTTCTTGGCCCTGGAGATAGGGGCTCTTAGCTACAAGATTCGTAGTGGTGCTTTCTTCCACAATGTCCGACCAAGTGACCTACGCGACACTCACACTTCAGGATTCCGCTGGGGCAAGAAATAACCGCAACGGAAACAACCTAAGAAAAAGAGGTAAGGCATAGACACAGCAGGTTAAACGCTGGGAGAGGCTGCCTTGCAATCTGATACTACACAGAAGTGTGCTGTGAGGTCTCCCAAATGGAGACATAATGGAGGAATATACATGGGTTTTCAAAAAGTGCATGGGAAATATAGTCTCTTAATTTCATTTTTTTTTACTAAATTGCTGATATCCCCTCATGTTAGAGTGAGTGTTCCCCACATTGAGGAGAAAATAGTTGGCTTTCAGGGCCTCTTTAAATTTTGTGAAACCACTGTTTCATGAAGCTATGTGTTGGCCGTGGAAAGTTTTGATTGGGCAAGCCAGAGACTGCAATTAGAGACAAAGACTTCTGTTAATAAATATCGTTCTTGATTTTTATATCTTGTGAGCAGGGCATGGAGAATATTCTTTTAGAAGCCAGGTGGGAGGCTTCTAAAATACAGAAAGTGGGGAGAACTTTCCTTTTCAGCGGTACAGATCACCACGAGGAAAACTGAAGAATGGGGAGGTGAGAGGGCATAAAATTTGTTTCTCCTTGTAAAAGAAATTCTTTTCATTTTATTTGAGGGGCTGGGGGGAGAGAGAGAGAGAGAGAGAATCTCTTCCATCTGCTGGTTCACTCCTCAAATGCCTATAAACTTGGTCTCCCATGTAGTGGTAGAGACCCAAGTACTTTAGCCGTCACTTGCTGCCCTCCAGGGTGAGCACGTGCAGGAAGCTGGAACCGGGAGCAGAGCTGAGACTCAAACCCAGGCACTTTCATTTGGGGTGTGGGCATCCCAAGTGGCATGCTAACTGCTGGGTCAATGCCTGTCCCTGGTTTCTCTTTTGTAAGTCTTTTTTTTTTTTTTTGACTTAGGGAAGTTGAAATCCAAACGATAATTTGTATTGCTGAATCAACAATAAATGTAATTATATGCTATTTATCACTCTGGCCTCAGAATCAGCCCTAAAGGCACTCGGATCTGGCTGAAAAGCCCATGAGAGTATCTCAGGCATGGAAAGCCAAGACACTCTGGCAAAAAGATCTCTGTGAGTGAGATCCCAGTGGAAAGAACAGGTCTTCAAAGAGGGAGGTGCCTTTCTCTGAAGGGAGGAGAGAACCTCCACTTTGACTATGACCGTGTCTAAACAAGATAAGAGTCGGAGAACTCAAGGGGCTTCCATAGCCTTGGAAACTCATGACTGGTGCATAGGGAGATTACTGATGCCATAAACAGGAGTGTCAATTTGTAAAGTCAACAACAGGAGTCACTGTGCACTTACTCCTCATGTAGGATCTCTATCCTTAATGTGCTGTACATTGAGGCTTAATGCTATAACGAGTACTCAAACAGTATATTTCACTTTGTGTTTCTATGGGGGTGCAAACGATTGAAATCTTTACTTAATGTACACTAAACTAATCTTCTGTAAAAAAAAAAAAAAAGAAATTATCAATTCCCAACTTGACTCTCACTGGGATTAAACATGACAATAGGTCTGATCTGATTTCATCATCATTGAAAAAAAATCATCTATTATTTTTCACTTTATGTTTCTGTGTGGGAGCAAACTGTTGAAATCCTTACTTAAGGTATACTAAGCTGATCTTCTGTATATAAGGATAATCGAAAATGAATCTTGATGTGCATGGAAGGGGAGAGGGAGTGGGAAAGGGGAGGGTTGTGGGTGGGAGGGATGGTATGGGGGGGGAGCCATTGTAACCCATGAGTCGTACTTTGGAAATTTATATTCATTAAATAAAAGATAAAAAAATGTAATTATATGCTATTTATGTATCTTATATATCTTTATCAAAACATAACTGTTGCATAAATGGAATTCTTAGTATTTTTTCCCTTGCAAGGAGTAGAAAACTGAGGTTTAAAGAAATTAAATGATTATGGCTGGCGCTACGGCTCACTAGGCTAATCCACCGCCTGCAGTGCCGGCACTGCGGGTTCTAGTCCCGGTTGGGGCACCGGTTCTGTCCTGGCTGCTCCTCTTCCAGTCCAGCTCTCTGCTGTGGCCCAGGAAGGCAGTGGAGGATGGCCCAAGTTTTGGGCCCTGCACCCCATGGGAGACCAGGAGGAAGCACCTGGCTCCTGGCTTCAGATCGGCACAGCATGCTGGCCGTAGCAACCATTTAGGGAGTGAACCAATGGAAGGAAGACCTTTCTCTCTGTCTCTCTCTCACTGTCTAACTCTGCCTGTCAAAAAAAGAAAGAAAGAAAGAAATTAAATGATTTAACCAAGTTCATCCAACTGCTATGTGGTGGGGGCCAGTTCACAGTTTATTCCTTTACACTCAATTGGAAAAAATGACAGCTCTGTGGGGAGCAACTCGGACTAGACTAAGTTACTGGAATTAAGACTTATTCTATGCATCTGCTCTCCCACAATATGGCGCTGGGAGAGGAGGAAACAGCTTCTACGCAGCTGCCTCTCACCAACTTGACAAGCTGTAGGAGCTGCTCCTGATTGGAGGAGAGCAGCGTACTCGGCATGTGGGTAGCAGAGTTGGGATTGGTGGAAGAGGACTATAAAGGAGGAGAGAGACAATATGCACCAGGAACATCTAGGGGGAACATCTATCTGAAGGAACACCTGTGCAGCCCCCGAGAGAGCCGGTCGGCGGTGTGCCACTCCCCCGCGGAAGTGGGGAAAGTGGCTGGGGGAACCGCCCTTCCACGGAGGTGGAAGGGACGGTAGCCAACCCGGGAAGAACCAGCAGCAAACCTGAGGAGGACCGAGCAGACAAGAGAACAGCGCAGGGTCCTGTGTCGTTCCTCCACGAAGACGGGGAGCGACAAGCTCTGTGACCAGGAAGTGACATCATAAATAAGACTGTATCCCTTGCCTTCAGGATATTTGTTGGCAGTTCAGGTTGTAGTTTGGAATCTTGTGAATAATATGACTTCCTTCTCCTCTTTATATTTATTTTTAGTTTTTGTGTGTGCATGCATATAAGTATGGTTTGGGGGAGGATAAATAAATGACCAGGGAAATAGGCTTTGCATGTGGCAAATAAAGATGATTCCATGTTTGGGGATTATTTATTTTTATTTTATTTGAAAAGCAGAGAGACGGAGACAGAGAGATCTTCTGTCTGCTGCTTCACTCCCCAAATGTCTACAACATCCAGGGCTGAACCAGGGTGAATCCAGGAGCCAGGAACTCTATCTTGGTCTCCGTGTGGGTGACAGGACCCAAGTACTGAGTCATTAACTGCTGCATCCCTTGGTGCATGGTATCAGGAAGCTGGATTGGAAGCAGAACCAGACTCACACCAGGTGTTGGGATATGGGATGTGGGTGTCCCAAGCACCAACTTAGGTACTGCACCAAATGCCTCCTCCTGTTTTGCTTTTAAATTCTAACTCTAACCTATGAGGAGAAGGGAAGCGTGACTGTGACACATGTGAGAGTGCCCCTGGGGATTGTATGACCCTGGTAAAACATTGGGCCAGGTGATATTAGGACCTGAATCAAGGAACAGGAAAGTGAGCAACTGAGAGAACCACTTCTATTTAAAAAGCAATGGAATGCTAAAATTTGAAAAGAGTTAGCCACTGGATATCTGGTCTATTCTGCTGTTTGTAGATTTGACTGTACAATTCTTTCATTGGTAATTTATCAAGTGGTAAGCACTGATAATTAATACAAGTCATTTTTAATAGATAAAAGCTACTTTTAAATGTAGAATCTGGGGTGGGCATTGTGGTACCGTGGGTTGAACTTGGGACAACTATATCCTGTGTCAGAATGCTTGGTTAGAGCTCTGGCTACTCTGTGATTCTGATCCAGCTTCCTGCTAAGACACATGGGAAGCAGTGGATTATGGACCAAGCACTTGAGTTCCTGCCGCCCACATGGGAGATATCTAGGTGGAGTTCCTGGCTCCCAGTCAGCCAAAGCTGTCGCTGGCATTTGAGGAATGCCAGTGGATGGAAGAGCTCTTGTTCTCTCTCTCTCTCCCCTTCTCTGCCAGTCTGCCTTTAAAATAAATAAATATTTTTAAAAGCATGTGGTTCCCTTGCCCGCAAAGGAACGACACTGCTTCCAGCTGATCGGTCTTCAGTAGACTTTTATTTAAACAGGATAGAAAGAGAAACCCTTGAGCAAGGAGAGCTCCGAAAGAAAGGGGAAGCTCCCGTTACTATTTCACAAACGGTTTATATAGTATAACATTGTTGAAACATGTAGGCAAGCTTAGTCCATGCTACAGTCCATGCGGCGGTGCTCCAATCGGGTGCCTGATCACGCACAGTCCATGCGCTCCTTGTCCAACCATAAAGGTGATCACGCGCCTTCATCCAATCAAGCTCCTGGTCACGTAGCAGGCGACTCGGGTGCTAACAACAAGCTTCCACCTGGTGTTTTCTCAGCCTTGGTCAGTGGGAAAAGAAGTACGGGAAGCCCCAAGGCCATAGTTGTTTTGACTCTAGCCTGGGGTTATGAAACGGTCCCGATATCACAGCTCAACAGAAACCATAAACATCCACACAGCAGTAACTAATGCCAATGGGCAGCAAGCCAAGCCTTAGCATGTGGGCCCATGGCCAGCCATGGGTTCCCACAAGCAGCAAAAGTATAAACCAATTTTATAAAGCAGGTAGAACTACCTGCCCTAAGGAGATTTGTAATCTCAAAACCGTGGGTCTTTCCTGTCACCAGCATCATCTAGAGAAGTATTTCCACAGCATCTCATTCAAGAATTGCATATACTTGAAGAAGCAAGGAGGGTGATGATGTAAAACTACCTAAAAATTAGGGGAAACCTACTCTTTTTAAAAAAATTATTTATTTATTTGAAAGAGTTACACAAGAGAGAAGGAGAGGCAGAGAGAGAGAGAGAGAGAGAGAGAGAGGTCTTCCATCCACTGGTTCACTCCCCAATTGGCTGCAACGGCCAGAGATGCACCTATCCGAAGCCAGGAGCTTCTTCTGGGTCTCCCACGTGGGTGCAGAGACCTAAGGACTTGGGCTATCTTCTACTGCCTTCCCAGGCCATAGCAGAGAACTGGATCAGAACCAGCACCCATATGGGATGCCAGCACGGCAGGCAGCGGCTTTATCCACTACGCCACAGCACTGGCCCCGAGAAACCTACTCTTAAAAGAAGGGAGAGTGGTGAAGAAATGGAGAACCAATGATGGGGCCCTCAGTGCATTTCATAATAGGTATTTTATAAATACAGGTCTGAGGAAGCCAGCAAGAACTTTGAACATCTCCTAAGTGGGAGAAATACCCAGCAGAGTTAACAACAATAAGGCAATTGGTTTGCTTACGCCTCTGTTGGCTTTCTGTAGGGCATCCAGCTCCAGCCCCTGCATGGCGCCAGGCTGCCCTGGGTCTGTTCATTCTTTGCCTGATGCTGCTGATTGGGCTGGTGACCTTGGGGATTATGTGTAAGTATCTTTGCATCAAACACTCCTTTGTAAGGTTCAGGTTAGGTTATAAAAAGGTGCCACCATCCTGAATCTGCTGATACTTTCCTGCTGCCTCATATCTGTCCCATTCTCCATGTCTTCAAGATATCCTAGAAAGGACCATACTTTATTCTCTCAGGATTTTACCCTAATTTCTTTGCTTTCTCTTGATTAACTAGCCTGGACTATGACAAAGACTTATTTTTCTGATTATTGTTTAGAATAAGAGACTTTTTCTGCCTGGACACACATCCACTTATTATTCCAATGATGAGAAATAGGGAATGGATGGAGGTCTACTCAATGATAGGCATGCCACCCCATTGGCTGCAAAGACTTAGCATACAACCACCTCCATCTACTCACCCAGGAGATCTTCCCAGTGTGAAGAAAACTGCAAAGTAGCAGCAACACGCTGACTTGTATGAATGAGAGTCACACACAAGAAGGAAGAGTGGCCTGGTTTATATGACCAGCAGAGACTTGAGCATCTCTGCAAATCAGTGGAAGCCCCCCTCCCCAGTACTAAAGTCAAAACAGAATATTCTTGAGATTCTGACCCATTATTGATCAGTTGAGAGTGGACGGCTAGAGAGTCCTGTACTAGCAGTAAGTGGGAAAATACCCATATACGTTGCATAATGTTGTTAAGTTTATGGTGGATACTTTCAGGGGATTTTCAATCAAAAAATTCTAAGTGTTGAGTAATAGCAACTTCTCCTCTGTTGCACTAATTTGTTTTTGTATATGTGAAATCTCATGGGTAATTAGGTTTTAGACATACCTCTTTGGACATTTAAATAGAGATTAATAATGTTGCTTGTGCTTTTGAAAAGAAATGTAGTATTCTTACACAGATAATTTAGTAGCCAGCCAATTGACAGTTCTTCTACAATGATGTATAGTTTTAAAATTAGTCAAGTTGCAATGATATGTGTTCATGGGTTCACCACCAAAGCATAAATTTTTTTTAAAAAAAAAAATGCAGTGCTTCTAGTGTAATGGCTCTTAAATTTGTTGGGCTGATAAATGACCTGGAATATATAATAAAAATGCAAATGTATGGATCCAAGGTCTCTGGTGTTACATTAAAATCTGTTCTCTTTTTCTGAAATAAGTATCTCAAATGATTCTGATGCACGTGGACTGCAGACTATATTTTGAGATACCCCCTATCGCAAAGAAGTCTGTTCTTATTAAAACACAATTAAATCAGCTCCAAATAGAGAAAATATCAAAAACATCCCACCAAAATGAATGGTAAAATGACTGGCAATGCCCTAGATGATTTCATTATATATTCATTTCAATTATAAATTCAAATATGTGTGATTATTATTAATTCATTGTCTTAATATGAGTACATTAATATTTGAAATGTGAACAAAATTCTAAAGATGAGCCATAGACAGTTTGGAACAGGAAGGCATTTGGTGTGCTTCTTCCATGATATATCAGTGATTAAGAGCTACTAATAAATATTTTAAAATAAAGGAAATGTTTCTGTGTGTGAATTACCTGTGGTTATCATAAGGAAGGAAGGATACATCAACTTGTCTCCTGTTATGTCTTGGAGTTTTGCAGATGTCAAATGAAATGAACTCGGATTCAGAGAAACGGAATCAGCTTCAGAAAATCATCCACCAGCAGCAGGATAACTTATCCCAGCAGTTGGACTTGCCTGCACAGGAAGAATCTCTCAAATCACAGATATCCGATCTACTGAAGAGGCAGGGACAACTGGCCATCAGACTCTGTGAGGAGCTAATCATTCACATGTCAGGTAGTGACACTCAGACCCTCGAACCCATCACACTGCGGTTCTCTGGGGTACGTTGAGCATGGGCACCACCTCGGAGTTCAAGAGAGTCACGCCATCCAGTGACCCTTGAATTATGTCCCACTAAATTTACAGGGAAGATCCATATCCACTCAGTATTCCTGAGGTAAATTTGGAAAGCACCCTGGAATGTCAGTTTGAGATGCTGCTTCAGCCCCTCATTTTATTAACTATTTCTAGCTGATCCTATTGTTGAAAGAAGCTAAAAGCACGACCAGTCATTCTGAGGGCAGTAGACAGAATTCCCATTGACTCAACCCGTAACAGTGATGATTCCATCCTGAAAGGCTCCTAGAACAGTTATGTTTTCACAGCTCTGGCTCACCAACCCCATTGTCCAGTGAAATTATTGGCCTCCCGTCGGTCTATAATCATTGATTTTGCACTATTGGCTGTAATTTCTGTTTCAGACCACAGATGTAATCCTTGCCCTGAGACATGGCAATGGTACCAAAACAGCTGTTATTATTTTATAACAAATGAAGAGAAAACGTGGACTAGTAGCAGAAAGCACTGCATGGACAAAAATTCTACCCTGGTGAAGATAGACAGCGTGGAAGAAAAGGTATGATGGAATCTGCTTCCCTGGGTACAAAAATTGTGCTCACAATAAAAGGTAAAACAAATACAATTTCTGGTTACGTGGTAGAAATTCAGTGCATTTTGAATGAGAATCAATAAATGAATTTAGTGAATATCCCTACATATCTCTGCAGATTGAACGGTGGCTCCCACATGAAGTTTTCCCTCTGTTTCTGCTTTCAGAATTTCCTGAAATCGCGGCCATTGCCCGTGTCGTCTTTGTTTTGGCTGGGGTTGTCATGGGACCATTCTGGCAGGGATTGGCTATGGGAAGATGGCTCTATCCCCTCTCCATCCTTGTAAGTCTCTGCTGGGGGCGGGGATGTGGGAACCAAGCTTTCCTTGGAACCCTGAGAAACTATTACAAGAATTATACATCTAGGTATAAAACAGGAATAAAACCTATAAAGAAAAAAGGACTTCGGTAACAAATACTGGAGAGAAAGTGACCTGATTTCATCTATGTGACAAGTTCACATTGAAGCACTGAAATTTAGTGATTAGTTTAAATGTATTTCTTTATTTAAATTACACTTATAATACTTACTATGTTCAAAGTACTTAGTAAATATTAACCCCGTGGGGCTGGCTCTGTGGCACAATGGGTTAAAGCCCTGGCCAGCAGTGCTGGCATCCTATATGGGTACCAGTTCTAGTCCCGGCTGCTCTACTTCCCATTTCCCATCCAGCTCTCTGCTGTGGCCTGGGAAAGCAGTGGAAGATAGCCCAAGTCCTTAGACCCTGCACCCACAAGGGAGACCCAGAAGAAGCTCCTGGCTCCTGGCTTTGGATCGGCCCAGCTCCAGCTGTTGCGGCCATTTGGGGAGTGAACCAACAGATGGAAGACCTCTCTCTGTCTCTACCTCTCTCTGTAACTCTGCCTTTCAAATAAATAAAACAAATCTTTTTTTTAAAAAAAAAAGGATTAACCCCTGAGGAAAGTGCATCTCCATGCTATAGATAACAATATTATCACGGAGAGATTTAATAACATACCCAAGGTCACTCAGCTCAAAAATGGCAGAAGCCATTCTGGCTCACCAGCATCTTCAGTACAGATGGGTGGTGTTTGTCATAAAAACACACATCAGCATGTTGATTTACATTCAGAAATTTTCTAAAAGAAAGTAACTCTGAATTGACATTAATCAAATAGTTAGTTTCACAGTAAGGTATTGTCAACTAGATTTTATTGCAAATTTCTTTCATGAATGAAGAAGAGCTAAATGTGCCACTTCAAAGTTTTAATGAAAATATTTAAAGTACAAATGGAATACATAACACATGAAAATGGAATTTTTTGCAACTATTTAAAGTTATGAAAACTAGAGACCACCTTTAAATTTCTAAAGGAGCACATAGTTCTGCAAAAGTCTTTTTTTTTAAAGATTTATTTATTTATATATTTGAGAGCCAGAACAACAGAGAGAAAGAGAGAGAGAAAGAAATCTTCCATCTGCCAGTTCACTCCCCCAAATAACTGCAACAGCTGGGGCTGGGCCAGCTCAAAACCAGGAGTCAGGAACTCCATCCTGGTCTCCACACAGGTGGCAGGGGCCCAGCACCTGGGGCATCTTCCTCTGCTCTTTCAGGCACATTAGCATGGAGCTGAATCAGAAAGGGAGCAGCAGGGACTCGAACCAAGGAGCTCCAGTAAGGGATGCCAGTATTACAGGTGGCAAGTTAACCCGCTGCGCCATAATGCTGGCCTCTGCAAAATTCTTTAAAAGGCTACAAAACCAAATTTTGAAGAACACCCCTCATCACAACTATGTTTAAATGCACAATTGCATTCATATTTTATTATAATATATAGTACTTTTATGTTAGGTGAAATTTAAGATCCTTACATCTTGATGGTATAGGTTTCTTTCCACCTCCCTCCCCCAACCAGTATTAATCCAGTCAACTCACTCCTTGACTGCATGTTGCCTAAGTTTTCTTAAACTGAGTCGTCATTGCTTCAGCTGCCACACACCAAATTCCTGAAATAGCAAGCAGTGACATGCATGTTCCTTCCATGATAGATACACTCTGCATTCATGCACTTCCCAAAGTTGTGTCATGGTTATTTCTACAGCAATCTTTTTACTCGTGGCTTTAGTATCATATTAAATCAACTAGCCTTTTTTTTTTTTTTCAAAGATAGTGACTAGAATTTCTTTTTTAATGAAATTACTTTATTGATTTTGAATGACTTTTTTTAGACTTATTCATTTATTTGAAAGGCAGAGTCACAGAGAGAGAGAGAGAGAGAGAGAGATCTTCCATCCTCTGGTTCAGTCCTCAAATGGCTGCAATGGCAGGGGTTGGGCCAGGCTGAAGCCAGGAACCAAAAGCTTCATTCAGGTCTCCTACCTGGGTGCAGGGGCCCAAGGACTTAGACCAACTTCTGCTGCTTTCTGCTGCATTAGCAGAGAACTGGATAAGAAGTAGAACAGCTGGGACTTGAACTCACACCCATATGGGATGCTGGCATTGCAGGCAGCAGCTTAATCCTCTATGCTACAATGCAGGCCCCCAACTAGTCTGATTTTGCACAGATAATTACAGCAGAAAGCACATACGAAGTAATATACAAACACACACAAATTATAGTTATGCTTGTGTAACTGGAGCAATATTGGGTATGAAATGATTAAGATGACCTGTTGCTGCAAGGCAGGGTTCAAAGCCCGCAGACCCTCAGAGTTCAACTCCTGGGACGTGTACAGCTGTCAAACCAGCGCATGACCCTCAGCTGAGGAAGGCTGGCCTTCAGGACGACAGAACCATTTCCTGGCTACTGAGTGGAGGCCACCGTGTGCAAGCAAGGCTAAACTTGAGCGCACCAGGGAGGGCATTTGGCACAGGGGTGAGCAACACGGGTTGGGACACCTGCATCCCATATCAGAGTGCCTGGATTCGAGTCCCCGCTCCCCTTCTGATCCAGCTCCTTACTGATCACATGCGTGGGTCGCTGCCATCCACATTGGAGACCTGGATTGAGTTTCAGGCTTCTGGCTTCAACTTGGTCCAGTCTCAGCTGTTGCAGGCATTTGAGGACTGAGCCAGTGGGTGAAGATCAGATGCTATCTCTGTGTGTCTCTGTCTCTGTGTGTGTCTCTATCTGTTGCTCTGTCTTTCAAATAAATAAAAATAACTAAAGCTTTTTCAAAAAAGAATTAGTACATCTGGTTCTAAAGCAAGAAAAGAATATAGCAGTGTAACTTAGGTCATTTGTAGTAAAGCAAGGTTAGGCACACAAAAGACTTAGACCTTAAAAGGCTAATTTTTCTTACAAAATTCAGGGTTTATCAATTTCTTAGCAGAGGAATTGGGAACTATTATCATAACCACATCTAACTCTGCCTTTTCTCTCTTCTGTCTTGTTCTCAACCTAAGATTATGATTAACTTGTGACCAAAAAACCCAGTTGCGCCAGTTTTAGGAATTTTGATGCTCAGTGGAGGCAGAAGTCCCTCAGTATTTGTATATGTGAAAAGAGAGTAGGGGAATGGAGATCCAATTTCAAATATGAAATAGATAATTAATTTTGAATCAATTAATTTTCAGATTTAATACGAAAGAACTTGCCCAGATCAACGGATCCAAAGGATGTGCTTATTTGCAAAAAGGAAATATTTATATTTCTCGCTGTAGTGCTGAAATTTCTTGGATTTGTGAGAAGACTGCTGCACTAGTGAAGATTGATGATTTGGATTGACAGGCTTCTTCCAGATTTACCAAGTGGGAAGAGACTTGTGAGTAAGCCCAGGTGAAACAGGAGGAAGCTACAGAGCTGGAGCCAAAACAGAGCACAAGCTGACTATGTGTTTACACCATCAGCAAGTGGAATTGCTTCTTAGAACATTCTCCACTTCGTTGTCTGATGTCTTCTGTCTGGCATTCTTACTCATCAGTCTTCCTACATATCACCTGCTCGTCTGTTATTCTCTACAGATTTAAAAGTGTGTGAGCTAATCCAACTTTTGTATATGCACCAATAGAAAGTCGAGAACAAAGGAATTATATCCAGCATAAATTTTAGTAAGAATTACAAAATATATTAAAGCCTGAATTTTGGAATACACATGATCTTTTATCATAGTTCAAGTGACCAGGCTTATCAGTTTACAGGCCTGAAACACAAGTCACATGTACATGGATTTTAAAAGGAGCTTTATTCTTTAATTTCTCTTTCACAGTTTAATACCACTGTCAGTCTCACAAAGATAAAAATTATTCAATAAAGGTCAAAAAACCCTGTGCCAGGCCCTCACACATTTTTGTTTCTCTTTCTTTCCATGAGAGGGATAATTTCTTCTTTTGTTCCTCTATGTCTAACCAAAACAGGGTTTTTAGTAGCAAATTAAATATCTCTGTTGGGTATTTTGTTCTTATGAAGAGATTATGGTGTTGCTTTCCCCAGGATCTTGTCTTGGTTAATTCTCATGCACCCTCTGACTTTCACACTCACTAGCAGAGACAGTTTTCCATGCCGACCTCACAGGGACTCTGGAGTCTGATTAACTCCTATTGTTCAGAGCCCTCTCCCTGCCGCCCTGCCATCACCACGTTCTATCCGACAGCCTCTACAGAGTGCCAGGCTATCGAGTTCTTCATCAGCCTTTGTGTCAAAACATTTCCTTCTTTGTTTCTTCCTGATAACCTGGCTTACGACACATGGCTTCTCACAAATTTCAGCCTCTCTCTTCCTCTCTTTCACCTCTTTTTCAAAACTCCTGAGAAATATTTCCTGTATATGTGAATGAATGAAATTTTATATATAAAATATATGAGTGTTTATAAATATTTACACACATATCTACACACAGAATCTTCAAATATCTCATAAAAGTGTGCACTATCTCATTCCACTTTTCTATAAACTTTTTGAAGTACCCCCATACGGAGAGAGAAAATTACTATGCACATATAAAACATACTGTCAAAATTCCGGGGGAAGGCTATGTTTTTTATTTTTGTGGATAACTTTTCCTCCCTTAGTGAGTAGTTTTATAGTTTCTAAACCTGGCTTCATCGTAGATTTACATGAATAGTTCGTGCAACGCACAGCAGGATAGCTTGGTACTAAATTTCTGAAGTCAGACAGCCAAGCCAAAGGTTACATTCGTATCCTCAATTTCAGAGCTGTGTTTTAGACCATGTCTTGATGCTCTTTGTTTCTGTAACAGAATAACTGAGACGGGCTGATTTATAAACCCGTTGGCTCACAGTTCTGGAGGCTGGAAACTCCAAGACGAAGAAGGTTCCAGCAGGTTTTGTGTCTGGTAAGGCCGTCACCTTCCAAGATGGCACCTTGCGTGCACCTCCTCCAGAGTGGGGCAAGGCTGGACTCCCCCATGGCAGAAGGAACAAGAAGCAAAAAGGGGCTGACTCACCCACAAGAGCAGAGTCCCTCTGAATAAAATACCTCTTAAAGTCCCACCTGTTAACACTGACCATGATAATTAAATACTAACATGAGTTCTGGAGGGGAAAAAACATTCAACCCATAGCAGAACAGATACTTGAAATCTCTAAGCTTGCTTTGTAAGCAATAGAGGGAGTTAGTGGAGAAAAAAAGTTAGATGCCAAGCATATGATATGGTGAATACCCAGTTAAGTTTAGCCATTATCACTAGACTAATTAAAGTGAGTTTATTTGGGAACAATAAAAAAATTCACAAATTCCAAAGCTCCCAGAACCAGAGCAGGTCCAGAGAAGTGCAACCAACCATGTGATCTGATGGCATTTACAGAAAACGCCACTTACAGAAAAACACAGGGGAGCAAAGAAAGCAACTGCTCCGCCACAGCGTTTACAACAGTCAGCTGTCAATCAGCTACAATTTCGCTCGTTAATTGCTTACAGCCGAATCTGTTAACCAAGCCTCTGCTCAAGCTGCGTGGCTGTTACTAACCTCAGCGTGGGGTGGGTCTGTTCGGCCCAAAGCAAGAGCCCCGTGCAAATCCATGGCCTCCTGCAAAGTCCGCTCCCGCGCCTTCTTCCAGAGGAATCAGAGACACCGCCTTCCAGTGCTGTGCTCCACTGTCCTGCACCAACGCTCTCTTCCTGGCTCACAGGTACGAATCTCTGCTTCTACACCCGCTGCTCTCTGGAGGGGAATTATCTCCGCATGACGGAAAGGTGCCTCCTCTTTGTAAGAGTGTAGTGACAGCTGCTCCCTGCAGCCCGCCATCGGCTCTTCAGAAGAAAAGAGCAGGCAGCAACAGGGAAGAAAACCTAGGGCTCACCTGAGACAGGGCCTGTTGCACACAGAGTATGTTCATGTTTCCGGAGCTCGCTCTCATGGGGGGGCCAGGCATGTGGGCGACAGGAATAGGTTCTGGCCCCGTTGGATTCCTAGCGATCAGCACTGCAACTCCCCAGGAGCAGTAACTTGTAGTTATGTTTACCAAAGGACAAAGGCTGTGGTTGTCAGTTCAGCAGCTTTGTCTGCAGACGGAATTTGTTTGAGGAAAGTTGCTCTCCAGGGATGGCCTTGATGTTGAAGATTCCTCCCACCTTAACTATGTGTTATATATATATATATTATATATATATATATATGTATTAGCTCGTGACAGGTGTGTCTTCAGTAAATCACTTCTAGATTTCTATACCTGTTCTTTGCCATCACCTCTTAGCCATAATTCATCCAATTATTTAGGTGACAGCCTTGTCTTTAAGAAAATATTTAAAAAACAGGCTTCCCTAGGGCATATGGATATGAGTACATATGTGTGTAAACAGTCATGGATAAGGAGAATGTTAGGCACAAAACAGGGACAGTTAGGAACAGAGCATAACTTGCTGGAGTTGTGAGCCAGGAGCCTACGATAGTGGAAGTGTTGTGTGGTGGAAATAAAACTGGGCTGCTGTGGAAAGTACTGGCCTGGTGCCCATCTCTGCCCCCCCCAAAAAAAGTATTTTTGTGGGTACAACAAATAAATGTAACCCTCTAATTTTTTTTTCACAAACAGCATTTTATCATGAATAGATTATTTCAAGGTTCCTTATGGCGTTTCAATAAAGCAACACTTGTGAGCTTCAGGTTTCAGTACCAAAGAGGGTGAATAAATGCTCTTACCAAGTCCCCTGCTGATTCTCAGAAGGGACTGTGCTCTCCCTGCAAAGGGAGGTTCTCTCTTTACCTCTTCTTTAAGGCCCCTTGGTTCACCTCTTTCAAGTCCTCCAGTAGGAAGTGTGCCTGGGTAGGCGGCCAGTTCTCTGCCAAGGTCAGCTTTCCGGCATTTGGGAGGCTCGGGCAGGACACGGAGTTGGGGAAAGCGTGCGTTTTCAGGCCTCCTGTCAGGAGCTGCGCTAATACACCCTATAGGGTGTGGTGTTCTCTTGGTGCAGTGGAATCACACAGGGCTTTCTGTGTAAGGCAGACTTGGTGACGGACGCCATGGGTGATGGAACGGAGAGGAGTGTTTCCTTATTACACCTGTAGCAAGTGCTTTCTTTTTGTAAATTTAGAATTTACTTCACTTGTGGAAAATGGTAGCAAAAATCCAAAACAACAAAGTTGCTTCTAGTTTCTATAACAGAATTCACTCCCTTATTTTTTTTCCAAAATACTAATCCATCTTATTACTAGAATAAATTCCAATTGGTCTTGATACTCTACATTTACTGGATTTAAGTTTCCCTGATATTCCATGAAGTTGGAATTTCTCTTATTTTTAGAAAAGCAAGGAAAAAATAGCTTAAGGTTCCTGTATTTTCCAGGAAACACTATTTTTATGCTTGACAGTGTCTGCGTTGTATCCGTTTGATGAGAGAGGATGTTGGGTTCCTTGTACTCCACAAATGGGGAAAAAGAAGAAACTTTGAAGATGTAACTGTTAGGAGAGACAAAAACATAGTCTGAGCATTTTCATTCCATTTGTGTGGTCCAAGGAGATCCAGTCTCCCTGAGGGTCTCTTCAGCTGTAGTATCCCAGCATAAGCAAAATAATCGCATGAATCACATTCCTCCATCAGGAAAATCACTGGTTAGTATGCTTTCAATGTTCAAAGATGGATTGGCCATCTTCTGACATAGAATCTTTTTTATTTCACTGCAGCGAATATAATAAACCGATGTTCGATATATATATCCACAATACATGTATTTTAAGTCACCAGTGTTTCTTTTAAACCTAAGGAGAAAATAAATATACTTAGAAAGTCAGATATTTGAAACACTTTCACAGGAGATTATATTTGCAATGTGATGTTGTTGCCCAGAACACTGTCTAAGGTAAATTTCAGTTAATATGCAGAGTACCAAGAATGTCCACGTTAGGTACTTTTATTAACACATATGTGATGGCAAGCACTGCTCTGTTTCTCTTTGCCTTCTCGCCCTTCCCACTTCTGAAATATTTGCTGTTTTTTAATTTCCAGACTTAGCAGCCCTAAGCAAATTCAGAGGATTTAAAATAATCTCATCTAACTAGTCCACTAGTAAATCTCTGACACTGTCTTCCTTAAATGCTTTTCATAATCACCAAACAAGGAGCGCAGGTAATGTGTGACCTTCTAAATTCAACATCATCTCCAAATGACATTTCTTTCCAGCCCTGTTCACAGGTTTCAGTCTGAAGTTCTGACTGATGACCAGCCCATAAACACTAAATTAGTCATCAAGAACTACAGCAATTAAAATACCTCTGGGGCTGCCTGCATCCCATATAAGGCAGCCTGAATTTGAGTCCTGGTTCTACTCCCAATCCCAGCTTCCTGCTGATGCTCACCCTGGGAGGCAGCAGGTGATGGCTCAAGGGATTGCGTGCCTGCCACCCACATGGGAGACTTGGAGTGAGCTCCCAGTTCCCAGCTTCGGGCTGGCCTTACCCCAGCTGCTGTGGACATTCAAAGGGTGAGCCAGTGCCAAGTGATCTGTCTCTCTCTGTTATCCCTGTCTCTGTTTCAAACTAAAATTACTTCATTAAAATGTAAGTGACTAAAAAGAACTACACATTAAAGCCTAATTTGTAAATTAAAAATATTATCTTTTGTATAATCAATACATGACTCTAATAATAATCATCAATAAATAAGTTCAACTAAATTTTAAGAATTTTTGATGGGGGCCGGCGCTGTGGCTCACTTGGTTAATCTTCCGCCTGTCGCGCCAGCATCCCATATGGGCGCCAGGTTCTAATCCTGGTTGCTCCTCTTCCAGTCCAGCTCTCTGCTGTGGCCCGGGAGGGCAGTGGAGGATGGCCCAAGTGATTGGGCCCCTGCACCCGCATGGGAGACCAGGAGGAGGCACCTGGCTCCTGACTTTGGATAGGCGCAGCACCAGCTGTGGTGGCCATTTGGGGGGTGAACCAATGGAAGGAAGACCTTTCTCTCTGTCTCTCACTGTCTATAACTCTACCTGTCAAATAAAAAAAAAAAAAGGAATTTTTGGTGACATAGTCCAGATATCATTGCATTACCATTCCCTGCCAGAAACAAGCCCACAATTAACAATGAGAATAAAAACTAAAGGAAATAACTGATACACATGTTTATATCATATGTGGTTATTGTATGCATATTATTTCAGTATCTTTCTTGATCATTTAAAATATTCACTGTATTTTCCATTCCATTATAGATTACCCTTCCACTTAATAATTAAACACATCCACATTCTACTTTTTCAAAAAATATTCCATCTATAATCTCTCCTGATACACATAGCCATTTGTTCTAGTCCAAACAAGACCTTTTTTTTTTTAATCTGAATCCTGTCATTTACCAGCTGATTTTTCTCCTTTTTTTGTTAAGATTTTCTCCTTAATTTTTTTAAGATTGATTTATTTATTTGTTTGAAGGGCAGAATTACAGAGAGACAAGGAGAGACAGAAAGGTCTTCCATCAGCTGGTTTACTCCCCAAATGGCCACAATAGCCAGGACTAGAACAAGTTGAAAACAAGAACCTGGAATTCTATCTGGGTCTCCCGTGTGGGTGCAAGAGCCCAAGCACTTGGGCCATCTGCTGCCGCTTCCCCAGGTGCATTAGCAGGGAGCTGGATGGGAAGTGGAGCAGCCAGGACTTGGTGGCATCTCAAGAGGCAGCTTAATCCTCTGTGCCATAATGCCAGACCCAAGGCCTTTAAAATATATATATATCCTTTCCCCTTTTTTTGTACATATTTTTTCCTTACCTCTGTTCTGTCCTATCACTGCCAACCACCAAAGTTAGGACCGTCTTGTCTTTCTGATCCTGACTCCTAGTCTTGCTAATTCTATCTGAAGGGAAAAGCAGCAAAAACCCAGATTTGTTGTACGGCTCAATGTGGTGAACATTCAGGAATTCTGACCTGGTACAGCTGCCCTGAGCTCCCTCCTGTTGTGTGTGCACTCCACTAGCACGTGGTTAAAGGCTGAGTTCCCAACATCATCCAGCAGGCCGAAGCTCTGGTTTCTTTATTTAGTCTGATAGTGGCTACTCCCTACATTGCAGGGATTATAAAACGCAAGAGGAATTTTGACACTATTTTTATCTTAAGGCTTTTTTTCCTGTTGCAAGCAAATATGCATAAATCCATTTATAATGAACTACTTACCAGTTCACCAAAAAATTGCACAGCAAATGGTTTTTTATGTACCAAGCCGAAGTTCATTTTTATTCTTTCAAATTCTCCCCATTGGTCTCCAAATGTTTTATTTAAAAATGCCCATTTCCCACTTTGATTATGGCGTTGTCTAAATAAGGTCAGAGTCTGTGAACTCAAGAGGCTTCCATAGCCTTGGCAGCTCATGACAAGAGCCTCAGGTGATTACTGATGTCATAAATAAGAGTGTCAATTGTTAAATCAACAACGGGAGTCACTGTGCACCTGCTCCTCATGTAGGATCTCTGTCCTTAATGTGTGGTACTGTGCGAATAAATGGTAAAACTAGTACTTTGTGTATCTGTGTGGGTGCAAACTGTTGAAATATTTACTTAGTATATACTAAGTTGATCTTCTATATATAAAGATAATTTAAAATTAATCATGATGAAGAACGGGATGGGAGAGGGAGTGGGAGATGGGATGGTTGCCGGTGGGAGGGAGGTTATCAGGGGAAAAGCCGCTATAATCCAAACATTCTTTGGAAATTTATATTTATTAAATAAAAGTTTAAAAAAAATTTTTAAATGCCCATTTCATAAATTGCCTGGCTGCTCAGCCCTAGGAGTGTGACTCTCTGGACTCCTTCTCTGGATCACAGGAATGTGTTTCGCCTTCAGATTAATCATGAGTTCTCTTGGGAATGAACGGTGGGTGCAGCAGGCTGCTTCCCTAAGATGTTTCCTTTTCTTTCCTTTGTCCATTGAAATGATCTCATTTTTTCTGTCTCATGTTAAGTATCTTCCCTGTATGGTCATATATTGCTAAATACAGATTATTCCTGGTTCAGTATTTCCACTGTGGTATTTATTTATACTGATTACCACTGGTATGTCTGAATTTTTTTCTTGCAGTTTTATGAATTTTTGCCTAATGTAACTTGATGTTTTTTGTTGTGTACCTAGTAAAGATTGTTTATCTTTTTGGAGAACTGTCTGCTTTGTCCTTAGGTAATCTCTGTATTCCTTGTAGTTTTCCCCAACCTAAAGCCCCATTAGTCTGAAATGACTGTAGCTATTCCAGGCTTGGATTAGTGTACAGTGGCATATCTTTATGCATACCTTCATAACTTATCTGTGCCTTTATGTGTATCTTACTTTTAATATGATAACTTACATATGTTAAGCTGACAAATAAAATTGAATGCATTTATTATGTTAAAAATGCCCATTTCAACTATCAGCTATAACAAAAATTCCAAAGGTAAGATTTATTTTAGGTTATTCTGACTTTAAGTATTTACCACGCTATATTCTTTTTATCTCTAGCATTACTCAGTCTGCTCATATAATTGATGGTTAAGTAAATTCAGGGATGAATCAATCTTTCATTCATCTTTGAATCCCAGAATTTAGTACAATATGAAGTACTTCTTAGAGTCCAGTGAATATTGCTGTCTTCCATAATTAGAGAAAAGCATGATTTACAGGAAGTATCCTTAATTTGGCTACCATAATTTCATTAGTGACTTGTCAAAACAATGACACGACATCTGTGGCAAACTTTCTACACGTTTAAATACATCAAAGAGCTCAATAAGAAAAGGTTCTTTAAAGATGAATTTTCATCTGAAGCTGGTTTTCATTGTAATCTACAAGACTCTTGAGGAAAATATCTATGCACAAACCCAACTATGTAAAATCCAACAAGAATAGACTTACCCGGCAGAAGAGAAAACCAAATTCTCAATTTTCTCTGAGAGTTTATAATCTTTTCTAGGAAATAATCCCAACCAATAGTGAAATAATTCCTTGGATCTTATAAATTCCTACAGGAAATAAAGATGATCTGTTTAAAAATCTGAGGGAGCGAATGTCTGGCTCAGCAGGTAAGACACCACCTGGGACCTCTGCATAGGTTTAAATCTTGGCTCCAGCTCCCCACGACAGCTTCCTGCTAATGTGTGCCCTGGGAGGCAGCAGTGATGACTCAAGTAGTTACATCCCCACCACTCACACGGGAACCTGAATCACACTCCAGCTCCAGCTCTGGCCTGACTCAGCCCTGGTCGTTGTGGGCATTTGTGGAGTGAACCAGTGGAGAGGTGCATTTTCTTTTTTTCTCTTTTTCTCTCTCTCTCCTTCCCTCTCTACCTACCTACCTCCCTCCTCTCAAATAAAAAATTTTTAAGCAAATTTAAAAGTCTCATTTTTGGACATTACCTTACAATGTAAATTCTTACAAATTACTGTTTTAAGATAACATTTTTTACATTGCAATACTTTTCAGAACCATTTAAAAAATGAAAGTGGTCCTTATTGTAAGATTTCAGTATTTTTACAATATAATTTCCTATGTCACAAAGAGAAAATACCTACCCTTGCATAACCTTACTTAGGACCAATGAAAAGTTCTCAAGCTTCTGGACTCAAGTATCTAAACATTCAGTCCAGGGGCAAAGGAGGTGGTTTATGACCATAAACACAAGAGGAACAGGTGAGTGGGAATAAAATGAAGCGAAGTCAGACAAAAGTGGTTATAGCATAGAACCCAGAACCAGTCCTGAATCTTGGAGCCAAAATAATAAGGTTTTTTTTAATTATCTCAGCCTTTAAAAAATACTTAAAAGCACAAAATGCCAAAAACAAGAAATATCCCCCTATGTAGTTTTTGTGGAACTGGTAGCCCTCCCAGAAGTCCTGTTTTTAGGTGAAGGTACAGAAATTACATTCTGAGATTTAACTCCAGAGTTCCGACTTAGAAATGCTCACACAGATTGAAGATTCTAGGTGCCCTGTGTCTGCCCACCTATCCATCAGCTGATAAAATTTCACTGATGTGCTTTCAAAAAATGTTTCTTTCACTGACGTTAAGATACTAAGTGAATGCCATGAGACTCCAAATCCCGTTAAGTTGGGTGGTACTAATGCCATCTTAGGTGTTAAAATGATCATATTAATTGTGCAATTGATCATATAGATAGGATTAAGTGAAAAGGGATTGCATAAATAAGACCAAGTGTCTGCTAATAACAATAGATAGAATTAAAAAGAAGAGACTGATCCAACATGGGAGGCAGCAGACTCATAGAATGACAAATGCCCTAAACAGCACTCTGGCCTCAAAATCAGCCCTTAAGGCATTCAGATCTGGCTAAAAAGCCCATGAGAGCATTTCAGGCATGGAAAGCCAAGACACTATGACAAAGAATGGCCTACATGAAGGATCTCTGTGAATGAGATACAAGTGGAAAGAAGGGACAAAGAAGGAGGTACCTTTCTCTGAAGGGAGGAGAGAACTTCCACTTTGATTATGGCCCTGTCCAAATAATGTCAGTTTGTGGACTCAAAAGGCTTCCATAGCCTTGGCAGCTCATGACAAGAGCCTTGGGTGATGACTCATAAATAAGAGTGTCAATTGTTAAATGAACAACAGGAGTCTCTGTACACTTGCTCCCCATATAGGGCCTCTGTCCTTAATGAGTTGTACTATGAGAATTAATGGTAAAAATAGTCTTCAAACAGTACTTTATTTTGTGTATCTGTGTGGGTGTAAACTGTTGAAATCTTTTACTTAGTATAGAGTTGATCTTCTGTATATAAAGATAATAAAAAATGAATCTTAATGAAGAATGGGATGGGAGAGAGAGTTGGAGGCAATACGGGAGTAGGGGTGGGAGGGCGGGTATGGGGGGAAGAACCGCTATATTCCACAACTTGTACCTATGACCTTTACATTTATTAAATAAGAGCTTTCAAAAAATAAAAGTAAATAAATCTTTAAAAATAAAAAAGATGCTACGTTAAAGTTTTAGACAATTTCCCTTGGCTGTGATATCCTGGGATAAACAAAGTCCCAGTCACTTCACTTTCCATCTGAGGTCAACCACACCCATAATGGGCTAATACAGTCTTCCCCACAGGCCTGCCCCTCTCAGTTAGGCTGCAAACACTTTCCTCGCCTTCAGGCACAGCCCTGGGCCTTACCAGCTCACTCTTGTTCCTCATCGTCAACAGGCTGGCGTTCAGAGCAGAACAGAACCTGTCACTCTCTTCCCATGTGAGATAATCATCACGCAGGAGATAACAGTGATCCTTGTGCCATATCCAACTCTCTGGGCAAGGCTTACATTTGTGCTCTGGAAAGAGAACTTCATTTTATTTGGTTTGTGTTGACTTTTTATTATTATTTCCTTTACTCTGCATGACATTCACCAAACATATTGTGCTTCATGGCTTTACATCAAAGGGAAAGAAAATGAATTCTCTTCTAGATCCCTGAATACCATTGTAATGTGCCTTACACGTTACTTGAAAAAACTTTCAAATTAAGCACTTGGATTCGAGTCTATCTTCCCGTATTAGAAGATCTGAATAACCTCCCTTTGTAGACTTTATGTTCATTTAGGACAAAGAAAACTAATTGCAGGAAAAATTTTGTAAAGTAAGATTCACCCCCACAGACCTCCGTCAATCCTGCCTTTTCCAACCAGGGCACCTCTGACTGTCTGACTTGCTGAATATTGGAGGGATCCCCCCAGGAGCACAAGGTACATGTTGGCTATGATAGCTACAGAAACCTAAAGAAGCTTTGGAATACCAACTCTCCCCAATTCCAAAGGCAATGATTCAGATTCTTTCTTTTCTATGATCTCTTGGCCATCAAGAACTGACTCAAACTTAGGGTTGAGGTCACCAATAAAGAAGTCTGTCTTTCATTGATCTTCCATTGATGTCAGTGCCCACCATATCAATTAGGGAAAGTATACTCTGTCTAATGTTTCATTGTGTAACAGTCGTATTCTGATCATTTGGAGGGCCTATAAAGTTATCATTTCTTTTTCTATTTTGCTTGGTTTTTTCTTAACTATATGGAAATGTCAGTGAGTCTTCCATCAACTACATTCAATTCCTTCCCCCAACATAATGGCTCTCTACAAAAAGGCTGCTAGCTAATGATGAAAAGTTTCTTAAGTGACTTTAAGGTTGAGTTCATGTCTCGCAAACAACTCGGAGAGCGGTGCAAAATTACCTGGGTCTTTTCTACAAAGCTCACGACATAATCGAGTGGCTACGTTTTGTAATGCAATGGACAGGTTCCTGATCTTCTCAGAGGAGTTCTGGTTATTCAGCAGTTGTACAGAAACATTTCTCTGAAGTTCTTCTTCGATATTTTGTAGTTTATTCAATTTTCCCATTTCTATTTTCAAAGTTAGGTAAACTCCAGATCAAAGAGAGAAGAGAGGATACAAAATTTTAAACCCTCAATTGAACCATCAGCCATCTCGCCACCCTTTCCTTTCCAGAAACAGTATTAAAAACATTAAAGGGGTTGGAAAGTAATTGTTCTGCAGGAGTGAGAGACAGAATAAGTCCCTCTTATGGGTATATCACCTATTATTGTAACAAAGCTTCTAATCAAAGAATAAATGAAATTCAGGTGAACATCTGGTACAACAGTTAAAATGCTGCTTGTTGAAGGGCCTGAGTTAGATTCCCAGCTCCACTTCTGATTCCGCTTCCTGCAAATGCACACCCTGGAAGCCAGCAGGTAATAGCTCTAGTAGGTAGTTAGGTCCCTGCCAGCCATGTGTGAAACTTGAATTGAGTTCCAGGCCTTGGCTTTGGCCTGACCCAGCTCTGGCTGTTGGGGTGTTAGGGGAATGAACCAGGCAATGGGAGACCGTTGGCTGGCTGGCTGGCTGTCTCTGCCTTTCAAATAAATAGATGCAAATAGATAAAATAAGCAAATTGTTTAAAATAATAAAATTAATGGAATTCTAAGTGCTGTCCCTTTCCATCCACATAGGGGTAGTACCTACACGTGATTCCTAAGACCACCAATCCAACGAGCAGCAGAAGGCACAGAAGACTCAGAGTCAAGGTTGTTTGACGCCATACACGGGAGGGAGCGGGAGGCGCTGTAGAAAGCAAAATTAACAGAGACCTGGGGATAGTGTGCAGCATGACTTCAATTACTCATTCACCCACTCCTCCACTGTGTTTCTTTTCTAACATGACCCTCATAAAGGAACATGACTCCTTAGACACTTGAACACTTTTAAAATATTTTTGAAGGATTCATCAAAAATAAGTCAAAAACATCAAGTTCGTTGTGTTGTGTGCAGGTTGGCTCCCACAGGAGAGGGTGTTAACAGATAGACTGATTGAAGAAACTAAGAAACAAAGATGTTGTTTATAAAATGGAGGAGAGAAAGCCAAGCAGTCTAGATGTGGTGTATCCTGTGCATACAAATTTGGGGGGAAAACTGCGGGAAAAGTGAGTGGCTGGCAGCAGACAGGTCAGCCTGAGGAGTCTTTGCTTGAATGGACACCTGTGGTGTGTCAAACCCCCAAGTCCATTTGTTTATGTAGTCCTCAGATAAGCTGGAGAGTTGGCTACAAAATGGTTCATCTCTCTGTAATGTCTCTAAGCGCCTTCCCAGCTCATTTTCTCATTCAAATTTTTCAGTATAGTTTCATGCTTCTGAGTAAGAAGCTTTTATTGAATGTTTTCTCTTTTTTTTGCTAAGCAGTGATGCCTAAAAAAAGGTTATTTCCCTACTAAAAGGCAGGAGTTATGAACTTTATATTATGAATTATTAAATCACTATATGATTTAAAGTACCATATTGGGACTTTTAAAATTCTTGGAAAATGGAATAAAAGATGAATTTATTTTAGAGTTGGGTGTTTGGTTTAGTGGTTAAGATGCCTGTATCCCATATCACAGTACCTGGGTTCAATGCCTACTTCAGGCTCCTGACTCCAGCTTCCTGCCAGTGTAGACCCCAGGAGGCAGCAGTGATAGCTCAAGTAATTGGCTCCCTGCCACCTATGTGGGAGACTTGGATTGAGCTCCTGATTCCTGGCTTCAATCTCAGCCCAGACCCAGCTGTCACAGGCAGTAGGGGAGTGAACCAGCAGGTAGAAGTTCTGTCTCTCTCAAACAGATTTTTACAAAGCTCAAGATAAATGTATTTTGGTGCAAAAACAATTGCATATGAGGGATCTTCAAAAAATTCATGGAAATGTATATTATAAAAAGAACCATACATGAATTTCAAAAATTTTGTCACCAAAAAGCCTTTATATTTTTAATTCCATTTTTCCATGAGCTTTTCAAAGTCCCCTCTTATGTGAAAATCAGATATTTTAAGGAAATACAATTCAGGGATAACATGATAATTATACTACATTTCTAAGCTATGTCATATATCTTGCTGTTGATGGTATAATAATATTGTGAAGTCCAGAGTGAATTGCAAATAAAATGAGAAACATAATTTCTTTAGACTTTGGAAAGAGTTACCAGTGAAAGAACCACATGGCCAAGACCTTCTATAAGCTTAGAATTATAAATTCAAGTGTTCTCTTTCTCAAGAACTAGTTGCTCATTTACGTATGTATTCAATTACTCATTAGTTATCCACTGACCACCTTCTATACCCTACACACTATTCTGGGTGCCAACAAATACAGAGGTGGGCAAGATATGCAAGTCCTTATTTTCGGGAAGATAAATTTTAATTGTCAAAGGAAATAAATTAATAGAGATAGGTAAGATGGGGGGAGGGAGAGGTATCTCAAATTGGGCTATGGTGTGTAGATATTTGAAATTGAGTTATGTTACAGAAAATAGTTCAGCGATGGACATTTGGTGCAATGCTGAGATGCTGCTTAGACCCATGTTAGAGTCCACGTCGTGGACCCACTTCCCACTGCAGCTTCCTGCTAATGCACACTCCAGGAGGCAGCAAGTGCCGGCGCCTGTGCTTAGGGACTTGCCACCAAGGTGGGGGACCCAGGCTGACTTTCTAGCTCCCATCCCAGCTTTGGCCTGGCCCAGTCCTATTTGTTGCAGGCATTTAGAAAGTGAACCATAGGGATGGAAGATCTGTCTCTCTCTCTCTCCCACTACCTTTCAAATAAAATGGAGAAAAAAGGAAAGATCTTATGAACAATGTTCAGATCTTATGGACAGCAGGGCACAACATCCAAAATCAGTGGGAAAAACATTACAGGCAGCAAGGACATCTAGCTCAAAGACCCTAATTTGGGAGCAAACAGAACAAATTCAGAGTGGCTGAAGTACTACGGTTGATGATGCAGTGAGATGTGAGAAATGAAGTCAGAAAAGGTCAAAGATAAAAACAGCAAATAGTTTATAGCCTTTTTTAAAAAAAAAAAATTCTTTAATTGAAAGAGCGACAGAGGGAGAAAGAAATTGATCTGCCATCCGCAGGTTCACTTCCCAAAAGACCACAACAACCAGGTTTGGGCAAGCCAAAACCAGAAGCCAGAACTCAGTCCAGGTCTCCCACAGGAGTGGCATCCCTGGCACAGTAGCAGGGAGCTGGACTGGAAGCAGAGAAGCCAGGACTTGAACCCATATGGGAGGTCAGCATTGCAAGCGGTGGCTCAACCCACTGTGCCACAATGCTGGTGCCATTATAGCCTTTTTAAACAAGAGTAGGAAGTTTGATTTTTTTTTTTTTTTTTTGAGAAACCGCTTGAATGATCAGGAATGGAAAACAACTGAATTTTTTGAAAAATGTATTTTATTTGAAAGCTAGAACTACAGACAGAGAAGGGAAAGTCAGAGAGAGATCTTCCATTTGCTGGTTAACTCCTCAGATGGCCTCAACAGCCAGGGATGGGCTAGGCCAATGCTAGGAGTTTCTTCTGGGTCTCCCACATGTATGGTAGGGGACCAAGACCTTGGGCCATCATCTGCTTTCCTAGGTGCTAGAGCAGGGAGCTGGATCAGAAGTGGAGCAGCCAGACTCAAACCAGCGCCTATGTGGGACGCTGACACTGTGGACAGTGGCTTAACCCACTACACCACAGCGCCAACCCCCTGAATATTTTTTTAAAGAAAAACCACTATGACTGCATATGGAGAATGAATTTTGGGAGAATAAAGAATAGAAGTACAGGAAGTAGGGAGAGTGGTAAGAAACCTATTAAAATATTCTGCATGAGAGAGAATCGTAGCTTTATTTACTATTATTAGGGAATTGGATAGATTAAGAATACATTTTGAAGTTAGAATCTATAGCACAAATTTATGACCTTTTTAGCTTCAGAAAGTTATAGATGATAAGATACACACATTTATAGGCAGAATCTCTGAGGGTTAAAAAGTACAACACAGTCTCTAAGGCTAGAATGCTTGAGTTTTGATGCTGATTCTGCTATTTCTTACATGTGGGACCTTGGGCAAATTATTTAATCTCTTGTGTTTCAGTTCTGCAATGGATTGGGGCAGCATGTTGCTCAGCATGTAGGAGGACTGGGGTGCCTGCATCCCGTATCAGAGTGCCCAGTTTGAGTACCAGCTCTGTTTCTGATTCCAGTTTTATGCTCATGCTCACCCTAGAAGACAACAGGTGATGGCTCAAGTACTTGAGTCCTTGCCCCCAACATGGGAGATGTGAGCTAAGTTCCTATCTCCTGGCCTCAGCCTGCCCCAGCCTCAGCTACTTGGGCCCTTTGGAAGTGAATGAATAGATGAAAGTTCTTTGTCTCTGTGTGTGTGTCTATCTTTCTGCTTTTCAAATATAAAAAATTTAGGAAAAAGAAATGAAATAGGGTAATGAAGGCAGGCAAACAGTCTAAAGTATCAGAGGTGAAACAATTTAATATTTTAAGGCAATTAGAACAGGGCTAGTCCATAGCAGATGCTCAGTAATTGTATTTAAATATGTATTTCTATGTGCAGTTCGAGAGATGAAGATGACTAGGGGAAAGGAAGCCATTTAGAAGGAAAATAAATATATTGTTGCCATTTTTATTTTGAAATGAAATTAGAACTTCATGTGGAAATATAAAACAGTGCTTGTGTGTTCTGGCCTTGAGACTCAGGCAAAGGTCAGAAGGAGGTATTTGGAAGTCATTGTGTTTGAGGCTAAATGACTGAACGAGGCAACTTAGAAGAGCAGATGGAGCGACCCAAGAAAAGGGGGCCCAGCCAGGGCCCTGGAGCACCACGTCACACAGCGCTTGATGTGATGGGGGAAGGATCAAAGCAGAAAGAGCAAGCATGACAGCAGAGAGTGTGTCCAGAACACAGTATCAAAAGAAGACGGGCCGTTCAACTTTGTGAACGTTGCAGGGGAGGGGAGTAGTAGAACAGCCAAGATCTGGCCACTGGGATGAAACAGGAGACCACCGGCAACCCAGACGAGACCGCTCTCCTTGGCCCAAGGGCAGAAGCTCATGGCATTGACTGAGAAGGGAAGCATCGGGAGTCAATGGCCAAAAGCATGCTTTCAAAAGGTTGAACTGGAAAAGCTAACAAAGAAATTGAACACTAAGTGGAGAGGTTTACATGGCAAGTTAAGGAATGGATTGTGTTTTAATAAAATAGGAGCAGTGGAAAATGTTGCTGCACTGAGGAGAGAGAAGCAAGAGGGAAATGCAGCAGAAGGGCAAGGAGGAAATTGCAGAACATCTGTGAGAACACAGGGACTCTTTTTTTTCTTTTTTCTTTTTTTTTTTTTTTTCAGAGCAAAATGGGGTGGGCTGTGTTTTGATAAGAGTAGGTGCCTCTTAAATTCTCTGGAAGGAAGGCAGAGAGTTAAGCCTGAGGACATGGTGACGTGGAAATTTTGGTAGTAGAAAGAAAAAGTGTAGAATAAAGTAAGAGGAAAGGTGAGCGTAAACTGGGCTTGAAAACATATGTAATTTTTGCCAGTAATATTCAACTGCAGGGCAATGAGTGAGTAGATATTTGGATTTAACCAGAACTGGAATTATCAAAGAAAATAACAAACATTTAAGTAAAGTATGCAAGAGAGTAAAAAGTAAATATTACATAATATGAAGTTATTCTATTACATCATACAGAGTATGTTGGATAATGAGTAGATAAGGTAAAATTTTAAAAATTAACAAGAGGGCCAGCACTGTGGTGCAGTGTGTTAAGCCACAGCCCACAGCCCTGGCATCCCATATGGACCCCGGTTCAAGTCCTGGCTGATTCATTTCTGATCCAGCTCCCTGCTAATGTGCCTGGGAAAGCAGTGGAAGATGGCCAAGACCTTGGGTCCCTGCACCCACTTGGGGGACCTGAAGAAGCTCCTGGATCCTGGCTTTGGGCTGGCCCAGCCCCAGTCATTACAGCCACTGGGGAGAGAGCCAGTAAATGGAAGAGTGCTCACACTCGCTAGCTCGCTCGCGCTCTCTCTCATTCTTTCTCACTGTCTCGCTCCTTCCTCTGTGTGTGTAACTCTGACTTTCAAATAAATAAATATTTTTTTAAAAAGTTAACAAGACATAGATTCAGGAGAATTTCTGGTAAACATTTAAAATAAAGTGGATTATTAGAAAAAGAAATGGGAAGGAGAGTCATGGGGCACATAAAGAGAAATGCTGGTAATGTGAATTTTACTGTCTGCCATTCTCTTGTGTCATTAAAAAAGGAGAAATGAAACAAGGAAACAAAGACAGAATATGTTGTAAAATATTTAAACACTTCCTATTTTCAAAAAAATATTTTTTAAATTTTTTTTTATTTTATTTGAAATTCGAAGTTAGAGAGAGAGTAAGATCTTCCATTCATCAGTTCACTACCTAGATGGCCTCAATGGCCAGGACTGGGCCAAGCCAAAACCCGAAGCTAGTAACTTCATCTGAGTCTGACACGTGGGTGGTAGGGGCCCAAGCACTTGGACAATCTTCGCTGCTTTTTCCAGGCCATTATCCAAGAGCTAGATCGGAAATGGAGCAACTAGGACATGAACCGGAGCCCTTATGGGATGCCCATGTCATAGGTGAGAGCTTTAGCAGCTATGTCACAACGCTGGCCCCACAAGAAAAATTTGTCTTACAGGAAAAGCTCCCAGAATTAATCTATAATTTCTCAAGATTTAAATGTTAATGAAACATGGATTCAAATCCTAACATTAAAATTTCTATTCATAGCCAAATTAGGGTCTCAGAGAGGTTACATTCTGTGTATGGGAGTGAGATGGGGGATGACAATTTAATAAGAGAATTCTTTTCTCACTCTCTGCTACTAATTCCACCATCAATAATCTGTGTTCTCCATACCCATGGTTTTATTTGTTTATTTATTTAGAGAGACAGAAGGGAGAGACAGAGATGGTGTTTGTTGGTTTACTTATCAAATGCCTGGGAACCAGGAACTCAACCCAAGTCTCCCAGTGTGAGTAGCAGGGACCCAACCACCTGAGCCATCACCTGTTGCCTCCCAGGGTGCACATTAGCAGGAGGCTGGAATTGTAAGTGGAGTCAAACTCAAAACCACGCACTTGGAAATGGAACACAGGTGTTCCAAATGGCATCTTAACTGCTGTGCTAAATGCCTATCCCCAAGTTATTTTTAACTCGAACATGCTGATTTCAAGTATGGATACTCCAGGGCAGATTGCATACCAAACAACCAGGAGACAAGATGTAAGAGCTAATATATAGAAGGAGAAACATGGGATTATGAGTGAAATTAAGATTAGAGTTCTGTTGAAGTATAAACTGAAAACCTGCATAAATGGTCTATTTGTCCCATGATTTAAATTTGCACTGAGAAATACAAAGCTCCCAGGCACAATGGGGTTTTGAATGTTGTATCCAACATTACCTCTTCTTAAAGAGCCCCCTCATGGGGCCAGTGCTGTGGCGCAGCGGGTTGACGCCCTGGCCTGCTGTGCCAGCATCCCATATGGGCGCCGGTTCAAGTCCCAGCTGCTCCACTTCCGATCCAGCTCTCTGCTATGGCCCGGGAAAGCAGTAGAAGATGGCCCAAGTCCTTGGGTCCCTGAACCCACGTGGGAGATCTGGAAGAGGCTCCTGGCTTTGGATCGGCGCAGCTCTGGCCATTGCGGCCAATTGGGGAGTGAACCATCAGATGGAAGACATGTCTCTCTGCCTTTCCTCTCTCTGTGTAACTCTGACTTTCAAATAAATAAGTAAATCTTTAAAAAGAAAAAAAAAAAGAGTCCTCTCATTTGATTTAACATTTTCTTTTTTATTAAGTTGGGAAAAGATCTCCGAAAGAAGTAGGGGAAATTTTAACATGACATATGTCTAATGTGGTACATGGTTAACTGAAATCCTTTAAAGGACTTTGTGCCAGAACCTACACTGTGGTGCAGTAGGTTAAAGCCCCAGCCTGCAGCGCCCACATCCCAAATGGGCGCTGGTTTTAGTCCTGGCTGCTCCACTTCTGATCCAGCTCTCTGCTATAGCCTGGGAAAGCAGTAGAAGATGACCCAAGTCCTTGGGCCCCTGTACGCACATGGGCGACCCGGAAAAAGCTCCTGGCTTTGGATCGGCTCAGTCCTAGCCATTGTGGCCATTTGGGGAGTGAACCAGTGATTGGAAGACCTCTCTCTCTCTCTGTCTACCTCTCTCTGTAATTCTGGCTTTCAAATAAATTTTTTAAAAAAGAACTTTCTGCCTGTCTGTCTCTATTAGAAATATACACACAGACACACACAGCATTATCTTATAAAAAAAAGAAAAACATACAAGCCATGACTTTCCTAGATAACATGTGTTCTGTGTTTCACAGCTTCATCTCAGAGCAGAAAAAAAAAGCTGTACACAACCCAGTCATTTGAAAATACCATCTTTCCCAAAAAAACAATTTGTGGGGCCAGCATTATGGCATAATGGGTTGAGCCACCACATGCAGTGCCAGCATCCCATATTGGCACCAGTTCAAGTCCCAGCTGCTCCATCCTCAGTGAAATAAGCCAGTCCCAAAAGGACAAACACCATATGTTCTCCCTGATCTGTGAAAACTAATAGAGCACCTAAAAGGTAATCTCTAGAAGTGAAATCCGCTTCTGATCCAGCTCCCTGATGATGTTGTCTGGGAGAGCAGTAGACCACATGGGAGACCTGGATGGAGCTCCTGGCTCAGCTTGGCCCAGCTCTGGCTGTTGTGGCCTTTTGGGAAGTGAACCAGCAAGTGGAAGATCTCTGTGTGTCTCTCCCTTTCTCTGTGTGTCTTCCTTTCAAATAAATAAATTTGTTTAAAATAGGAAATTTGTAAAAATGTGTGTGTTCAATGCACTGATCTGTGCTTTTAAAAGCTTTTATAATCATTTTGGGTTTTTTGGAATTACTGATATATTTTATTTACTATATACAAAATATTGTCATTTAACATATTATTGGTATAAAAATAATTCAGGCTGGCGCCACGGCTCAATAGGCTAATCCTCCGCCTACGGCACCGGCACACCGGGTTCTAGTCCCAGTCAGAGTGCTGGATTCTGTCCCTGTTGCTCCTCTTCCAATCCAGCTCTCTGCTATGGCCCGGGAGTGCAGTGGAGGGTGGCCCAGGTCATTGGGCCCTGCACCCATATGGGAGACCAGGAGAAGCACCTGGCTCCTCCTTCGGATCAGTGCGGTGCACTGGCAGCAGCACGCCGGCAGCAGCGGCCATTGGTGGGGTGAACCAACAGAAAAGGAAGACCTTTCTCTCTGTCTCTCTCTCACACTGTACACTCTGCCTGTCAAAAAAAAGGAAGGGGGGAATGAATTCAATCAACTACATTTTTCTAGTAACTCCTCAGAATTGATATATGTTTTACAGTGTCAGCACATCTCAATCTGACTAGCTGTATTATAATGCTCAATGGTCAGATGTAGCTAGTGGTAATTCTATCTGACAATACAGCTCTAAGGATTGCAATATAAAAAGAAATCAAGAAAAACAATAGAAAGTTACAATATAATTGTCAAGACTTATACACAGTTATCTATTATTTAAATTTAGATTATTCAACTCTCATCCTGTTGCATTAAGATACACAATTGGTCCTCTATGGTCCCAGGTTTCTCATCCAAGGATTTACCCAACAGCAGATTGGAAATACTTGAAAAGCTGCCTCTGTACTGAACATTTACAGACTTACTTCTTGTCATTTTTCCTTACATAATACAGTGTAACAACGATCTACATAGCATTTCTTTAAAATCATGTTGTATGGACACTTTCGGTTCCATTAGATAGAATGGAAGGCTTAAGTTAAAATTCCATTTGAATGATTCAGTTCAAACTGTTAACTCATTAATATGTAACATGAAGGGCTATTACCACTTCTACCATCTTGCAAAATCTTACCTTTTTTCCCAAATTTGTCAAGTCCCTTGGTATTTGCTGTCTTGGTAGAGTCCTGGAATTTTAGATCTGCATAGGTAACTTCTTCAGACATGGATGAACACGTTCAGAGCTCAACCAAAAAAAAAGTGCCTAAAAAGAAAAAAGTAAAAGTGCTCTAACACATCTGTGATTTTAGATTTCTCTTTATAAACCTACCTTACCGATCACCTATGTTTGCAAATGAGTTTCAGGCTATGTGTGGCCACAGACAAAAACAGAGAGCAGCTGTTGTAATAGGAAACGTCTTTCTTCCTCATATTTCTTCCGTTTTGTCATTTCTGTATATATACTACATGAAACAGATTTTGAAACTGTAGTGGGATAATATTATTAGTGACCTACAAGGGTACACAAATCACTTGCATCACATGGTGCAGATATATCATAGAATTAATTGGAGATAAACACCCAATCGGAGAAACAACAGAAAGTAAGCAATTCTCAGTCACAATCTTGATGTAGATACTCTGATATTCTGTTTGTAACAGAGCCAACGTTTGACAGAGGTTGCCTTAGCCAGGGGACTGAACATGTGCAGAAAGTACTGTGAAAGAAAGAGTAGGCATCACTCTTCGCCCTGGTACACATGTATAGGTTAGTTCTCAAGGAGCTAGGGAACACCCAATTTCTCTAAGTAACAAGAAGTACATTAAGGGATCTGGAACCCATGAACCATACCAAGGACTGTGCATAATTATGGCCAATGTCTGTAGCCCAATGCTCTGGGAACAACTTTGTAAGTCAGTTTTGTTGACTTTCTATAGACTGGCTACATCTATTTGAACCAGTTCTCATCTAAGCTATTTATATATTTCCTTATCTACTTTATTCTATTTGAAAGAAAGACAAGACAAATCTCCCACCCTCTGGTTCATTCCCCCTCATGCTTGCAAGAGCCAGGACTGGGCCAGGCTGAATCCAGGAGCCAAGAACAGTCCAAGTCGATTATGTGAATGGCAAGGACCCAATTACTTAAGCCATCGCCTGCTTCTTTGTGCATTAGCAGGAAGCTGGAATTGGAAGCAGAGCCAGGACTTGAACCCAGGCACTCTGATATGGGATGCTGATGTCCTAAGAGGCATTTAACCACTTTGCCAAATGCCCACCCCTCAGCTAAACAACTAAAAAGAGAGAAGGAAATGAGTCTACAAGGTCATCCGGGCTTGTGCCTTATAGGCTTGATTCACTATAGTTTTCTTGAAGCCATTTCTGGATCAAGTATGCGATGGAGGAGCAAAGGGTGGGAAGTGACTTTCTAAATAAGACTTCTAATATTCATTAGTAAATTAGTAACTCTTACTTTGAAATTTTTACCTACATTACCACATATAAATATTGTAAAATAGATAGGCATCATTATTGTTGTTCTACTATGAAATAAAATGTATATTTTTAAAGAATTCAATAAAAAGTTAACTGCTTTATTATATTTTGGACAGATAGTAAAAGAAGCCCTCCTTTACAAGAGTTACTAAAAAATAAACAGATAAAGTCATTAGTGTAAATTACTAGAAATTTTACACAATGAAAGCAAAAGATATTTTTAACCACTGAATGAAAGGAAAACACGCTTTGGATTAGAAGCATCACTATCCTAGGAAAAACAGTTCAAAATTATCCCCCAAAATTAATGTCAATTGAATTTAAAAACTAATAGATTTTTCCTGATATTTCAAAAAGCTATTGTATGTTATAATTCAAAATAGCTGTAAGAGAGGATTTTGAATGTTCCCATCACCAAAAATATGGTAATTGAGATGACAGACAACCTAAATATGCTGAGTTGATCATTACACAGTGTATACTGGTAACAAAGTACCATACATACTGTACCCCATGAAGCTGGACAATGACTCTCCGTGGATTTAAAAAAAAATCCGGGGCCAGCACTATGACACTGGTTCAAGCCACCACCTGTGATGCCAGCATCCCATATGAGTGCTGGCTTGAGCCCCAGATGCTCCAAGTCCGATCCAGCTCTCTGCTAATGAGCCTGGGAAAGCAGTGGAGGATGGCCCAAGTCATCCTGGTTCCTGGCTTTGGTCTGGCCTAGCCCTGGAGAGTTACCTAGCAGATGGAATATTTATCTATCTCTTCATCTCTCTCTGTCTCTCTGTCTCTGTCTCTCTCTCTCTCTCTTTTCCTCCTTCCCTCCCTCCCTATAACTCTGCCTTTCAAATGAATAAATTTTAAAAAAGACCAAAAAAAACCTTCTGAAATTCATCTAAAAATATAATCATGGGGCCGGCGCCGTGGCTCAGTAGGCTAATCCTCCGCCTAGCGGCGCCGGCACACCGGGTTCTAGTCCCGGTCGGGGCGCCGGATTCTGTCCCGGTTGCCCCTCTTCCAGGCCAGCCCTCTGCTGTGGCCAGGGAGTGCAGTGGAGGATGGCCCAGGTGCTTGGGCCCTGCACCCCATGGGAGACCAGGAAAAGCACCTGGCTCCTGGCTCCTGCCATCGGATCAGCGCGGTGCGCCGGCCGCAGCGCGCCGGCCGCGGCGGCCATTGGAGGGTGAACCAACGGCAAAGGAAGACCTTTCTCTCTGTCTCTCTCTCTCACTGTCCACTCTGCCTGTCAAAAAATAAAAAATAAAAAAAATAATAATAAAATATAATCATGAAAAATATTCCCATTGAAATGAAATACCAGTGTTATGAAGAGTGAAAACATGAGCACTGCAGAAGAAAACACACATGTGGGCTTAATATTGTCTGAGTATTTTCTAAACCAGAAAAGTCACTAAAAAGCAACTGACAATTTAAAAATGTGTCTATATGGAAAAACATGTACATAAAAATACCCACAACAAACTGAAAAATTGTAAATTTATATACATAATGTACTAGATATCATAAAGGATAAGGAGCTAATTTTATAAACTTACAAAGAAGTTATATACATTGATAGAAAAAAATGAATGTTAGTAAGAAAAGCTATGTCAATAACAGGCTAATTTTTTTCCTTTTTTTCTGGAAAGAATCAGGGTTTTTTTTTAAAAGATTTATTTATTTATTTGAAAGAGTTACAGAGAGGCAGAGAGAGAGAGAGAGAGAGGTCTTTCCATCTGCTGGTTCACTCCCCAGATGGCCTCAATGACCAGAGCTGGGCTGATCCAAAGCCAGGAGCCAGGAGCTTCTTCCCAATCTCCCACACGGGTGCAGGGACCCAAGGACTTGGGCCATCTTCTATTGCTTTCCCGGGCCATAGCAGAGAGCTGGATCAGAAGTGGAGCAGCTGGGACTCGAACCGGTGCCCATATAGGATGCTGGAACTGCAGGTGGCAGCTCTACCCACTATGCCACAGCACCGGCCCCAGGAATCATTTTTAATAACAAACTTGTATTTAGGGCAGATGACTACAGTAAGGTGAGAGCCAGAGGTTTGGACCTTTCATGCGGGGACTTAGAGTGCTCCCATCTGAGGGTAATTCACACAGATCCTAGAGAATGGATTTGAAGACAAGTTTATTTGTGTACAAAATATTTTGAAATCCAGGCATTGTTTTTCCATATTGTCAATAATACACATTTTCATCAAGTTTTCCTCATACATAAGCTTCTTTCCCTCTTTCCTCCCTTCCTTATTTCCTTCCATTTCTACTTGGTAAATCTCCATATTGTAAAAGGAAAAATAAAAACCCAAGCACTGAACATTATATTTAAAACGCAGTACATATTAGAGCTGACATTGTGGCAGAGGCCACCAGTGATACAAGCATCCCATATGAGCACCTAGTTGTGTCCCTGCTGCTCCACTTCCAACCCAACCCGGTGCTACTGGCCTGGGAAAAGCAGCAGAATACGACCCAGTGCTAGTAGGAACATAGTGATACCCCCCACATTACCCTCCCTCCCACTCATACCCCACCCTTCTTTCTCCTTCCTCTCCTATTCCCTCTCTGAATTTTTACAATGATCTACTTTCAGTTTAATTTATACTCATAAGATTAACCCTACACTAAATAAAAATTTCAACAAATAGTAAGAGGCAAAACACTGTTCCTCAACAGTAGAGACAAGGGCTATAAACAATCATCTAAGTTCAAAATGCCAATTTCACTCCTATACATTATATTTTTGGTATTCTTTAGGTCAGATCAGGGAAAATATCTGGTATCTGTCTTTTTGGGACTGCCTTATTTCACTAAGTATAATTGTTTCCAGTTTCATCAATTTTGCTGCAAAAGACAGGACTTCATTCTTTTTATGGCTGAGTAGTATTCCATCATACAAATACACAATAATGTCTTTATCCAGTCGTCAGTTGATGGGCATCCTGGTTGATTCCATATCTTAGATATTGCGAATGGAGTTGCAATGAACAGAGGATACAGATAACTCTTTTATATGCTGATTTCATTTTGGATAAATTGCCAGGAGTGAGATTGCTGGGTCATACGGTGTATCTATTTCAGCTTTCTGAGGTATCTCCATTCTGTTTCCCACAATGGCTGTACTAGTTTACATCCCCAGCAACAGTGGATTAAAATATCTTTTTCCCCACATCCTCAACAGCATTTCTTGTTTATTGATTTCTGTGTGAGAACCATTCTAATTGGGGTGAGGTGAAACCTCACTGTGGTTTTAATTTGCATTTTCATGATGGCTAGTGACCCTGAGCATTTTTTCATGTGTCTGTTGGCAATTTGAATTTCCTCTTTTGAAAAATGCCTGTTCAAGTCCTTTGCTCACTTATTAACTGGACTGTGTATTTTGTTGTTGTTCAGTTTCTTGAGCTCCTTAGAGATTCTTAATCATTTATCAGTTTCTTGGCTTGCAAATGTTTTCTCCCATTCTGTTGGTTGTGTCTTCATTTTGCTACTTCTTTTGCAGCATTGAAGTTCTTAGCTTGATATAATACCATTTGTCTATTTTTCCTTTGATTGCCAGTGCTTCTGGGGTCTTTTCCAAGGAGCCTTTGCCTATGCCAATGTCTTGCAGAGTTTCACCCAATGCTCTGCTCTAGTAATTAGATGGTATCAGGTCATAGATTTAGATCCTTGGTTCATTTTTAAAGGATTTTTGTGTAAGCTGTAAGGTAGGGGTCTTGTTTCATACTTCTTCATGAGGAGACCCAATTTTCCCAGCACCACTGTTGAAGAGACTGCCCTTGCTCCAGATATTGATTTTAGCTCCTTGTCAAAGAGAAGTTGGTTATAGATGTGTGGGTTGATTTCTGGAGTTTCTATTCTGTTCCATGGGTCCACACATCTGTTTCTGTGCCAGTACCAGGCTGTTTTCATAATAACTACCCTGTAGTATGTCTTGAAATTTGGGATTCTGATGCCTCCAGGTTTGTTTTTGTTGTATAAGAATGTTTTAGCTATCCAGGTCATTTGTGTTTCCAAATGAATTTTAGCA